CGTCAACATGCCTCTTGTTGACATTGGCGGAGAGCAAAAAACAAAAACAAATATTGCAACGGTGATTAATTTAGCTGTTTCTTTGTTGTCACAGGTTAAATATTCTCTGTATGAATTGAAATGTATTGATAGTATATTTTGGCTCGTAGGCGGACATATTCATGTACGCACCATTCAATGTGGCAAAAGTAGCGTTATAACTTGAGCCAAGTAGGTTCCCAAAGGGCTAATTTCCACCTAGGATGAGTGGGCCATTTTTCAAAAATCCCATTTTTGTCCCCCTCATTTTCATTGTCAAAGGTTTTTGTTTTGTTTAGTTTACTTAAGTCTCTCAACATGTTGATACACTCAACTGAGCTTCTTTAATTATTGCTGTGCACTCAGAGCAATGAGCTTATCAGCAGCAGAAAGCAGAAAGCAGTGCAGTGAATGCTTTATGGATTTATTAGCCCTGGGTTTCACCTCTCAGGCTGAACACAGACTGCCATTCCCTATTGGTGAAGGTTGTTGGGGCTGAATGCAGCCTTCATGGAATACCTGCAGACACTAAAAAAAAGTTTATTTATACTATTATTGATCACAGTAGACAGTAAAGCATAGTGTTCATTGTAGTAAAGATACAAATAAAATAACTGTCAGAAAGTATATCTATAAATTATGTTATGTAGGGTTTAATACTACCATTATTATTATGAAAAATAAATATTTTGACCAATTTTATTATACTTTTGTATACACATACACACCTTCCGTCTCCATCATATCTGAAACAAACCTATGACAAGAAGAGAAAAGTCTCAATGCAAGGTCCAACTTGCTAAGCTTTAAGCCGCATCACTTGACCTTCCTCAAAAGGTCGAGTTTGCTCAGTTGTCATGGAGATAGGTAAGGAGATCATCAGCAGGCACACGCTCTCCATAAATTTTTTGCAGGTGCTGGATTTCAATTAGCTCCACAAATAAAACCATACAGAACACAGATACAGAAAGTAAAATTTGGGCTCCAACTGCTGAGGAACAACAATTAAGTTGGACCTTGTGTTGAGAATTCTTTTGTCAAATTGCTGCAACATAAAGAATTAACCTTTAAGCTGAACTTAACTTAACCAAGAAGTTTTAGTTGTGTAAACATACCCAAAGCTTAACCATAAAGGTGGCAGATCATAAAACCCTCAAATCAGTGCCTGAAGTGGGCCAGTACTCACCAGTAGCCGCACTTCAGATTTTTGTCCACATGAGTACTCTTACTTCTTTGCTGTCAAAGGAAGCTGTTGCAGTAGATCCTGTCCACATTGTTCTTAACATCATGACCCCGTTAGATCACTGTGACACAGAGCACCCTGCTTCTGGCAAAGGAAAGAAAACGATGCGATCCGATTGGCTCTCATCACTGCTACTGCTCATATATTTCACCAAAAGTTATCCTGTTTTCAACTGTGCTATAGCTGTTCTGCAAAAAGTTGTCATCTCACACAGAAGAGTATCTAGATCCCTCTGTGTAGTGGCAGCCTGTGCTGGTTCCAATGAAAAACAATATGAAATGACACGATATTGTTACAGAACTAGTCTCCTCTTTAATCATTTGTTCTACATTGTTACAATATAACACCCAATGGAGAGCAACAGGGTGAGTGTGAAAATGTTAAGGGCAAAAGTAAAGACATCATTAAGGAGTTCGGAGACCCCATCAGCACTAAAGACCATTCCGTGGTAATATGGTGGGTTTTTTTATGTGTGATTTGCAGCCTAATATGTTGTATAAGCGTTTAATAAGTTGTATACCACAATATCGTTCATCAAACTGCTCTGAAAGTGATCCCATGAGTGGACCCAAATGATAGACACAGATACAACTGTATGGTAAAGTTAAGGTTTATACAAAAACTTGAGATTGAGATAGTGATTAGCAGAGGGTGGAGGGCTTACTGGAGGTGTCTGATAGAGAGCCAGTAAAAAGCTTCAGGCAGGCGGGTAAGGTGTGGTCCTGAAGCAGAAGAATTGCAATTACCCAGGAGCATAACACAAGAAACTGAACTGTTGACTGAATAAGGGCTTGTTGGAGGTAATTTGGGAGCTGAGATTCAATGTGCTGTATAGATATACCAAGATAAATGGGTAGTCCATGAAAAGCAGGCAGTCTAACACAGGAACACAGGAACACAGGGAAAATGTAACCAGGGATGAAAAAACCAGTAAGGTCACACTTAAAGGCAGGGCACAATGTCTGCCATCATAGCCTGCGACTGGCTGCATCCCACTGCCTCATTCTTTGTAGTCTTGATGATGATGAATGGTACAAACAGGAACTTTCAGACATTCTCTCCTTGAAGCCATTTATGTTGTTGCATGCGGTTGTTCACACGAAAAAGTGGGGGAAGTATTTGTGTGAAGAATGAAAAAAACCGAGCTTCATAAATTCAAACCCTGTTTACTTTCACACCTCCACATACCTGGCCAAACAGAGGGGATCAGATTGTCTGTTGTTTCATGTACAGTGAAGTCTTAGATTAAAAATGTTATTACATTGCAAGGCTCACGGTTGGTTCAAATCTCCAGGCAGAGGTGAGTTTCAGATGAAAAGCAAGAAGCCAACTGAGCGATAACGTACATTTTCCTTGCTGATTCATATTTCTCAGAAAAATGAGCAACAACACGGTTCCTTATTGTAGTAGATGTACGCTCCATTCAGAATCCATTCAGAACAGCTCATAGGAATTAGACCCTATTCATATTCCCCACAGGGATATTGGAGTTCACACATCATGGTATTTTATGGCGGAGAAGATTAGGAAAATAATGACTTCCAGTTACAGCCACTATAGATTAACAACCACATCAGTCCCTGCTGACATATTACAGTTGTTTGGTCATATAGACTTATTGGTCTTTCTCAGGAGAGAAACAAATAGTAAAATATAACGGTCTGTACATTTATATTTAACCAGAAAAGTCTGTGCACTGATCCTGATAAGTTTGTCCAAATTAGTTTAAGAATTATAGTAAATCTGGTCATATATTTTTACAGACTGTGTGACAAACAGACTGTGTCATCTGGCCCAATAAATCACCACAGTCCCCGTGGTGGCTGTGGAACTGGCACATAGATTAACTATTCATAATGGTAGTCTCTCTGCCTCTCTCTTTCTCTCT